GGCTGTAACTGTTCCTGCTGCGGCTGTAACTGTTGCTGCGGCTGTAACTGTTCCTGCTGCAGCTGTAACTGTTCCTGCTGCGGTTGTAACTGTTGCTGTAACTGTTGCTGCGGCTGTAACTGTTGCTGCTGCGGCTGTAACTGTTGCTGCGGCTGTAACTGTTGTTGCTGCGCCTGTAACTGTTGCTGCTGCGGCTGTAACTGTTGTTGCTGCGGCTGTGACTGTTCCTGCTGCTGCGGCTGTGACTGTTCCTGCTGTAACTGCTGCTGCGGTGGCAACTGCTGTGATTGTAGCTGTGACAGCTGCTGTTCCCGCGCTTGCCGCTCCTGTGGTTGTTCCTGCTGTTGCAGCCGCTGCGGCTGTGGTTTCCGCTGCTCATAGCGCACAGATTGGGGATTTTCCTGTAGTTCCTGCCGCTGCCGAGGCAGCTGCTGCTGCCCATCTTGCTGCTGCTGGAGCTGTTCCTGCTGTTGCTGTGACAGCTGGTGCTCTTGCATGTGCTGCTCCTGTGACTGCTTCTGCTGTTGCATCAGCTGCAGCTGTGGTTTCAGGGGCTCCTGTCGCACAGGTTGGGGGTTTTCCGGCTGTGGTCGAGGCAGCCGCTCTTGCCTGCCCTGCTGCTGCTGTTGCCGCTGCGAGTTTGGCTGAGGTCCTGACCCTTCGTCTCGTGGCTGCAGCTGTTGCAGCTGCTCCTGCTGTGGCTGCTGCTGCAGCTCTGGCTGCTGTTCTAACTGTCGGGGTTGCAACTCCTGCTGTTCTGGCGGGGCTCCCTCAGCGGTTGCACCGGCCCCCCTCGGGGCTGAGACTGCTGGCCGCGGTGGGCTACTGCTCCTCTCCTGAGCCTCTTCCTCCTCCTGACTCTCACTCCCACCGCTGCCACCTGTAGCGGAAATGGCAGGAAGCCAGGAGAGAAAGATCTACAGGCAGCTCTCCGATCCAGACTCCCAGGATCTCCCCCCTTATTCTGCCCCATGTATAGTCACTGTACCATACACTCCTGAGCCCTCAGAAGGGACCCCAAAACACTGGACCAAGTGACAATGGCGGTATGGTAGAAACGGAAACGCCCAGAGGTGTGGAGTTGGCTTGGAAATGTGCCCCAGGGACAGCTGGTCACATCAGTCTGGACCCCAGCCCCCTGACCTCTCCTCTGGGCCTTCTGCCACACAGGCTCCATGCCTTAGACCTTGGCAGTGACACCGTGGGTGCCTGTGGCTCCCCAGCACCACTCCCTGAGAAGTCCTTTGGGCTTAGCTGCCATCCAGTAGGAAACAGTGAACCAGCCATTCCCACGGCTAAACCACAAGCCCATGCTGAACTCAGACCTCAGTTAAGGTCACACCTTAAATTAATGGAACTCACCTTCTCTGTACATAATAAAGAATTTCTGTAAGGCTGCCTGGAAGTGTTTCTGCGGCAGTTTCTAAAAGTCACCAAAGTGTCAGGGAGAACACGAGGTTTCCAGGTCAGAAGTCCTCAGTTCAGAAAAACTCTACCAGTGAGCAGCTGTCTAACCTCCTGCAGGTTCAGGGCCCTCTTTGTCTGTAACATAGCTTAGTGACACCCACACCAACAGCTTAATGAGTGAAGCAGGAAGAGCCCTGACATTACCCCTAGCAGGTGCTTGAAAAATCCCTCTCCCTGTGGGTTTGGAATGGGTTTGAAAACTAACAAACAGTTTGGAAATACTGAGGATATAACTAGCTCCATCTGAAACAGTCCTTAGGCTGGAAGTGTTTTAGATTGTTATTCTGGGATGGAAAGGACCAACTCACAGCCCCAAGTCAACATGGCAACTGGCCAATTATTTAACCTCTGGGAACCTAAATTTCCCCATCTGCTAAAGGAGACAAATCCCTTTCAGGGAAATCGTGAAAATTAGAGGGGATAAATGAGCAGCCCCAGCACGGTACAGGACGTAGTGTAAGCTCAGCTAAACAGGACTCATTCCGTTGCTGTTTCACAAAACCCACACGCAGTCTCTCACTTTGAGATCATCTTTTCAATTTTGTAATGGAAAGTAGAGGTTTGGTTTTGTAAATTTTGCTTTCTGGCTACTTTTCCAGGAATACATTGAATTAATAAAGCCAAGGGATATCTACATGTAAATAATTCCCTTTTAGGAAACTATTTCCAATAACCTTTGCTTAGACTAATGGATCAGTGAATGCATTTTTCCTATACACTCACAAGGGAGGGAAGACAGCCATGAAAACCTGTTTTCTCGGCAAATCGAAGGTCACATGGACACTCCCTTCTCCCACCACCTCTGGGGGCAGCAGCGACACAGCACGCCTCTGTGTGGGTCCTCTCATTTCTAGGACAGTGCTTGGCCATATGGCCACCCCGGACTTCTTATGGCATTTTAAACATTGTTAACAACAATGCTGTAGTAATAAGCCAAAAGAGTCCTGGGAATTCCCTGGCGGTCCAGAGGTTAGGACTCGGAGCTTTCACTGCTGAGGGTGTGGGTTCAATCCCTGGCCAGGGAACTAAGATCTTGCAAGCTGCGCAGCACGGGCAAAAAAAAAAAAAAAGCCAAAAGAGTCCTAGTTAAGTCCACACATCCCCATCCAACCCCTCCAGCTCCCTTGGTCCTTTTCATGCTCTGTTCAACCCTGCCCCAGCCCCTCACTCAGCACCCTCGAAGCCCAGAGTGGGGAGTTGAGTCCCACGAGTGTGGCCACCATGGAAAGATTCGCCCAGAGCAGGTCCCAGAGAGAGACGGGGTCTTGGAAGGTTCTGCAGGGCCACAGTTGCCTCTGGGCACGAGGGGAGAGAAAGCTGGATGGAAGCAGAGGTCAAGGAAAAGTGGACGAGGTCAGAGGCCAAAGAAAAGCCACGTGGCCAATGACAAGAGGGCGCCTCTGCCGCTGAATTCAATCTGGGACCTTGAGTCTGGAGCCAGGGACAAGTGGGAGGAAAATGGAGGCTGTGTGAGCCCTGGGGAAACAGCAGAGGGTCCCAGCCAGCACTTATCCAGGTCCGGGGCAGGGGCTGAGAACGTCTGCACTGCCAGGCAGCCCTCACCAGCAAGACTGCAGCCTGAGCCACCTGCTCTCTCGATGTGAGCCTGCCGACGTGAGTGGGTGCAGTCTGCCCTCCACACCCCGACACTGCCAGGTGGGTGCCCCTCCAGACAGCAGGCCGCCCGCCACCATTCAGGGCTCCCTCCCAGCTGTGGCAGGCCGGGGTTCTGTCAAAGGATCCTCGCTGGGGACCTGAGGACCATCTCCTGGTTTAGGACATCAGAGCCCCCCCCCCCCACCAGCCCCTCACCTGAGAGGGTGTCAGGCCTTGAGCCCCCATCTTCAAGACACCGAAGCTCCAGCACGAAGGTCTTGGTTGCCGGCCCTACCTCCATCCTGGCAGTCAGACGGAGACCCCAGGGAGCCAGCTGTGCTGAGGAAGGAAGGAAGCTGTTCAGATGCGTAGGAGTGCTGTGAGCCCTGGGCCCAGGGGCACCAACTCCCTTGACGACCCCCAGAGCTGGCAGCTCACCCCTGCTGCAAAGGAGGACCGTGTGGTCCACAGTCAGGAAAGGGATGAGCAGGGGTGGCCTAGAGGCTTGGATCCCCAGCCCGTTCGCCTGCACAAGGAGTCCTGCCTCTCCAGACTTTGTGCAGGGCCCTTATTCAGCCCCACAGCTGGGGCAGCCCATGCAGCTGCGCGTCACTGAGGGACGATACTAAGGTGGCTAGCTGCACTCCCAGAAGGGACATTTGGGGAAGTCTGCAGGAAAAAGAGAGGCTTGTCCATCTCACACTCCCCTAGCCCCCTTCCAAGCAGTGACAAATCTGTTCAATTCCTTGGCCTCCTGCCTCCCAGGTTGCTGGGGGGTTCACCCCACCTTCCCAGGCCGCCAGCAGACCAGCGGTTCCAGGCCATATGGGTCGGTCCAGGTGCCACCTCAGCTCCCAGGAAGGCAGGTTTCCAGGGTACCACGACCCACGGAACTGGCGGGCTGCCTGTCTGGCCCTGTGCCCAGGCAGTCCTGAGGTCTGGAGGGCTCCCCGCCTCTCTCCTGCGTCCACCTTGGCCCCTGCAGAGGTGTGCCCATGTCCAGTCCTCCCTCCCCTCCTAACAGGGTGACTCCAGGTCTCCCTAGCCCTGCAGAATCCAGTCCAAAGCCTCTTCAGAGAAGCGTTCCTAGGTTCACCCTGCTGTCCTACCCACTGGGCCTCACCTGGTACAGCATTTCCTGCTCCTCACGCAGCCTCTGCACTAGGGGAGGTGTGGTCAGCAGGGGCTGGAAGGTGAAGGCCAAAGCGTTCAGCCAGCACCTTCCTGAGGAGCCTCCATCCAGAAAGAGCCGGGGAGGCGCCAGGCCACCCGGGGGCCTTTCTGGGCACTCAGGAGGGTCGGCCGCGGTCTGGGTTGCCGAGGTTGCGCTGGGCCAAAAGAAGCGGGCAGAGCGGAGTTCAAGAGCAGAAGTTGGTGTCGGCTCCCTGGGGTGGGGGCTGGAGGAGGCCGAGCCCCCAACCAGCGCGGGGCTCAGGGCCGGCCGTGCGGGACCATCGCGGGCGCCGAGGTCTACGGGGCGGCCCCGAGGGCGGCCCCGGTGGACGACCCAGCCCGAGGTCGGCGGGGCCGGGTGCCACCGGTGTCTTTTCAGCCCGGGGCAGCGCGGGCCCGGCCGGGGTCCGCCGGCCGCCACAGGTGCCGGGAGCCCGCGGGCGGGCAGCCTGGGCCGGGCCCCGCGGGCGGCGGGCGCCGCGGCCGGGCC